GCTGTGGTGACCAGGCTGTTGACTCCGCTGGTGACCCCCAGCCCAACCCCAGTCATGGTCAGAGCCAGAGACACCCCAGCTGTGACTGGAATGAGGGCCAGGCCGACGATGGAGAGCACACCCCCGACGGCGCCCACAGAGCTGCCGGCCACGCTAGAGATCTTCGCCCCTTTGTTCATCCTGTCCAGCTGAACTGCGCTCTCCTCCAGCTGGCCGAGGAACTCCAGCATCCGGGGCTGCCGCTCTCTGAACTCTTGAATGAAGCCTTGATACAATTCCTCCTGAAACAAGAACACCATCCGGAAGTTTGGGTCCATCCTGAGAAGACAAAAGATATTAGAAATAACTTATGTGAAAGGAAATGGGAGTCTTACGTTTCAATGAATTAACTTAACTTAATCTTAGCTTCTAATTTCACCTCCTGTACTTTACTTTAAAATATACCAGAACACTGGTGTCTGTAAGAATCGAGGACGATTAGTAATCTTCCCCTTTAAATAGGACGGTGGGCACCAGATTCCTGTTGTAATTGTCTGAGTAATTAGGGTTCATATATCATACAATGAATGGGGTTTCATTGAGATTCATCCAAGATTTGAGGAGATATTTTCAGTTCTAAAGCAAAAAAGGACCTTCTGTTGGATTATAGCTGTGATCAAATGTTTACAGAATGGTTCAAAATCTTGAGCTAGTTCTCATTTCTTTACATGATACAAGATAAATGTACTGGGTCCTTGCCAACCCGTCTGTTGCACATAGACTTGTTCATCCAGAGTTTGGAGCCCTTCAGATGCTCAGATGATCAATCATGAGTTCAAAAGATCAAAAAATCCATTCCTCCCAGAATGGTCTGGTGTAAAACTCGACTGAGGTTATAGAGAAATCTAGCTTCATGGGAGCAAAATATAAGCAAATGAGTGGTGACTAATAACTTAGTAAAACTCACCTGATTTCCTCGAGCTGATTAACGTGGTCAACCATCCTTTGTATGTCATCATCTGACATGTCCACACAGATCTCCACCGCAGGTTCACTGGTCTTCAGGCTGAAGTCGGTCAAACAGCTGTGGGAGACAGACTTTTCCTTTAGCGTTTGCAGTGAGAAACGTTGTTTTTGTTCATCGCGTGACCGATTTACCTTTTATCCATCTTCTCGCAGATGTTCTTGGAGGTCTGGATGTACTTGTCCAGCAGATGTGCCAGCACCTCCACATTCTGGAGTTTGGGAGAGAAGAAGGCTTTGGCCTCCCTTTTAAACTCCAGGATCAGAGGACAGACGCTCCGC